TGCCCAGATATATTTGGTCCTTGTAGAGCTCCTATCCTTTCCATATCATACTAACTTCCCTTCTTTCATATGATTCCCTGCACTCTGCCGAGGGTTTGGTTATGAGTCTTAGTGTCTGCTTTGAAACACTGCTAGGTAGAGTCTTTCAGATGCCTTTTGTGGTAGACTCCTGTCATAAGTTCAATGCACATCCCATTTGTCTTTCTAAATGAGGATTAATCACCTTCGTCTGTGTCCACTTTCTTGATTATCTTCTTTAGGTGTGTAGATTTCATTATGTTTATCATATCTTGTAGGTCTATATAAGCGAGTATATACCAAGTTTGTCTTTCTCCTTCTGGGATACTTCACTCAGAATGATCTTTTCTAGATCCCACCACTTGCCTGCAAATTTCATGATTTCCTCCTTTTTGATTGCTGAGTAGTATTCCATTGTGTAAAAATACCACAATTTCTGTATCCATTCCTCCGTTGATGGACATCTGGGTTGTTTCCAAGTTCTGGCTATTACAAATAAAGCTGATACGAACATGGTTGAACAAATGTCCTTGTTGTGTACTTGAGCAAATTTTGGGTATATACCTAGGAGTGGTATAGCTGGGTCTTGAGGTAGCACTACTCCTAGTTTTGAAGCAACTAGTGATTTATTGTTGTTGGAACACAGAATTTGTTTTTCCTGAAGGTTTCATGCCCTTGTGGGTTGACTGTTCTCCATTGAAGGCCACAATGAAGAATATGAACAGCACTATCTGTCTTTGATGATTTTAATTGAAAGACAAAGACACAGAGAAAGAGTGTGAGAGAGGGAATATCTGGGTGGCTTAAATATAATCAAAACACATTGGACAAATTTCTCAAAAAACATAAGACAGAAATAAACCTAGAATATACCCATGCATTTTGAAATAGATTTAAAGTTATGTATTATACTGACATCATTGGCTATTGAGTATAGTTGCCATTCACCGGATTTCCAGATATTTAAGTTCTAGAACATGCAATTTGACAAAGACACATGGATGCTAATATAAGCAGGTGCAGTTTATTAAAAACATTCTTTAGGATAAATGTGAGCTAGAACTGGTAAGACAGTTGCATACTCAAAGGCAAAATAAAGGATGGGGCTTTCATAGACCATTTACCTTGCACCAGTTTTCTCAACCATCTCTGTGTAATGTAGGAAGGCCTAGGGTGTCCAGGCTTTCTTTCTGCCAACTAGTCTCTTTCATATGCTAATTTTGTAGTTCTTCAGAGATTAACCTTCAGCTCCAGAATCTTTTACATAACTAAGAAAAAAGGAGCAGAACTTTATCACGATTTCAAAATATTACTTTACTGATTAGTTTTATTTCCCTTAACCAAGCAGATAAGAGCAGTTTCTACATCTGTCTAATCTCTTTACCCAGGAGAATTGTTTTAACTGAGTTCATGCCACTTTTTGAAAACATTATTGACCCTGGGAGGAAAATTTAAATTGTGATGTTGATAATATTATGTTGAAAGCCTTGGTTAGGATCACAGCTCTAACATAAGAGCTGTACCATGTTAGAGCAAATATTAATTATTTCCTGAAGGACAATGAGGTTGTAGTTATAAAATTTAAGGTTCTAATGTCCCATGCCCTCATTAGTTTCCTAGTTGAATGACAATGATCTAAATCTGCTGGTGCTTTCCCTTTACTTTGACATTGAAGGAAATAAAAGAAGCAATGTTCTTCAATAGTTTCTGTGAAGACATGATAAATAAATGTATGTGAAGCTCAAAAACCACACTGTGCCTTTAAATTTCACTAGATAGTTATCAGTTAATGTTATTTTTAATTTCTGTATATCATATAATCAGGTAAGAGGACTTTTTGTTATTAAAAACAATTCAATAAAGTAATTTTCTATACTAAAAATAATAAAGAAAGAAAGAAAGTAATTTTTTAGGATTCTTGTAACATCCTGGTCTTATGGCACATATGCCCTTATACAGTTTCTGAAGTACTTGGTCAAATCATGGCCAACTTTTATAGTCAGTACATAGGAACATATGGCTAGATACGTTCAAACTCATTTCAAACTCATTAAGCACATTACAAATTATCCTGTTCTTGGATTATTTGCTCAGGAATATATAGAAGCCATACATTAAGTCTCTCTATGTAACTGTTGAGAAGTAAATCTTTTTCTTTTCCACCAAAGTTTCTTACACCTTTATTTCAGTCTTCCAAATGCTGCAGATATTTAAAAAAACATTTTAAATGTTATATTATTATGTTTATGCACATGTGCATGTCTTGGTATATATATGTATACCATTTGCATGTTGGGGACTGAGGAGACCAAAAGAGGACATGAGGTCTCTAAGATGTGGAGTTACAGTGGCCATTAAATATGTGCTCTGGAAACAGAACTTAGGCCATTTGGAAGAGCAGCAAGCACTATTAATCAGTGAGCCATCTCTCCAAACTCTTAAAAGGTGCTAAAAAACAAAACAAACAAAAACCAAAAACAGACACACTAAATCAGTTAGAAGAAAAAGTGGAGAACAGCCTAGAACTCATTGGCACAGGAGACAACTTCTAAACTGAACACCTACAGCTCAGGCTCTAAGATCAACATTCAATAAATGGGACCTCATGAAACTGAAAAGCTTCTGTAAAGCAAAAGACACTGTTGTCAGAATAAAATGACAGCCTACAGACTAAGAAAGGATCTTCACCAACCCTATATCTGACAAAGGGTTAATATCCAGAATATATAAAGAACTAAAGAAGTTAAAAAGCAAAAGATCAAGTAATCCAATTAAAATAATGGGGTACAGAGCTAAACAGAGAATTCTCTGTAGAGGAATACAGAATGGCAGAAAAACAAAGAAATGCTCAACGTCTTTAGCTATCAGGGAGATGCAAATCAAAATGACCCTGAGATTTCACCTTACAGGCATCAGAATGGCTAAGATAAAACAAACAAACAAACAAACAAACAAACAAAAAACTCAAGTGACAATACATGCTGGAGAGGATGTGGACAAAGGAGAACCTTCCTTCATTGCTGGAGAAAATGTAAACTTGTACAACCACTTTGGAAATCAATCTGGTGTTTTCTCAGACAATTAGTAATAGCACTTTTTCGAGATCCAGCTATACCATTCCTAGGCATATATCCAAAATATGCTCAAGTATACAAGAACATTTATTTATTCTACCATGTTTGTAGTAGCTTTATTCGTAATATCCAGAACCAGGAAACAACCCAGATGTCCCTCAATGGAGGAATGGATGCAGAAATTGTGGTACATTTACACAATGGAATACTACTCAATAATTAACAACAAGGAAATCATGAAATTTGCAGGCAAATGGTGGGATCTTGATCTTGAGTGAGGTATCCCAGAAGCAAAAAGACACACATGGTATATACTCACTTATAAGTGGATACAATACCTATAGTATAGGATAAACATACTAAAATCGATACAACTAAAGAAGCTAAACAAGAAGGAGGACCCTGGGTAAGACGATCAATCTTCATTTAGAAAGACAAACGGGATGGACACTGAAAGAGGGAGAAAACAGGAAATAGGACTGGAGCCTACCACAGAGAGCCTCTGAAAGGCTCTACCCTGTAGGGCATCAAAGCAGATGCTGAGACTCATAACCAAACTTTGGGCAGAGTGCAGGGAATCTGATGAAAGAAGGGGGCATTAGTAAGACCTGGAGAGGAAAGGAGCTCCACAAGAAGAGCAACAGAACCAAAATATCTGGGCACAGGGGGCTTTTCTGAGACTGATACAAACCAAGGACCATTCATGGATATAACCTAGAACCCCTGCTCAGATGTAACCCATAGCAGCTCAGTGTCCTAGTAAGGGAATCAGAGACTGTCTGTGACATGAACTCAGTGACTGGCTCTTTGACCACCCCCCTGAGGGAGGAGCAGCCTTGCCAGGCACAGAGGAGGACATTGTAGCCAGTCCTGATAAAACCTGATAGGCTATGGTTAGATGGAAGGGGAGGTGGACCTCACCTATCAGTGGACTTAGAGAGGGGCATGGGAGGTGATGAGGTGGGGAGAGTGAGATTGGGAAGGAATGAGGAAGGTGGCCACAGCTGGGATACAAAGAGAATAAAATGTAGTAAAAAAATAATTAAATAATTTATCATAACAGATATGTTTGCAAACTACAATGCTATTCAGTATTCAGGAAGACAATCAGGAAAATTAAAAAAGCTCCCCATGGAAAGACAAAAGGCAGCACTCCAATCATTAATGAATTAAGTTGGATACAAAACAAAAAGATGATAAATATCTTTGACCTCTACTGACATTTGATGAAACACCACACTAAACTCTGAATCACTAACACCCAGAAACTGTTGAGTATGCTTATTGTTTTAAACTCTTAAGACTTTTGGCTTTTTTGTTTCAGGAATAGGCAAAAAATACAACTTGTATAGAAAGATGGGTGTACATTAAAATGATTTTAAAATTTATAAATTATAAAATAATAGTCATGATTTCTATGCATTCTATTAGAATTAAATTATAAAAATGACTCATATTATTCTTTATGTAGGAGATGTTTATATATGATACAGTGAAATTTTTATGTGGTTGAAACCAACTTCATCAGCTAGGAAGACTTTGGAACATAAGCAGAAATTTTCTGACTGATAGTTGATTCCCAGTAAACTCTCCTAAGGAAGAGTTCAACCAGGGAAAAAGAAGACGAAGACAAGAGACAAGGTTATCTCATCATGTGGAAACAGCATGAGAATGAGGCCATGGGGAGAACAAGCTGAAAAAAACAGAAAACAAAGCAAGCGAACAGAACATTTTTTTATTATCTTTTTAAGGATTATAATTTAATTACAACATTTTCCCCTTCCCTTTCCTCCCTCCAAATACTCCCATATACCCTTTCATACTCTCAAATTCATGCCCCTTTTTTCACTAAATTCCTAACTATAACTTGTTCAGTCTGTATAATGCCATCTCTCTGCATACTTTTAGGGCTGACTATGTGGCACTGGAAAAGCCAATTGGTGTACTCTTTCCTAGAAAGGCCATTTTTCCCACTCCAAGACTTCCTCAGTTGTCCATATTTCTTTGGGTAGAACAGCAGTCTTGTGGACTCTTCTCTGTCAAGTTTGACATGCTCATTGGTGTCATCCTTGCTCAGTTCATGTTTGGGATGATATGTTGCCAAGACCTTAGAGATGTGGCTTCTGGTATTACTAGGAGACAGAAATTTATACCGAATACCTTGATCCTCTGGCTCTCAGAATGTTTCCAGACATGCTTCCATAAATTCTCTGAACATTGGGTATGAAACTGAGCTCTACAAGTTCATACTTAGATTGGTTGGGTTCTCTTTAATGGTCTCTGTCTGTTTCAAAAAGAGGTTTCCTTGGTAAGGGATGAGACTCCACTTATCCAGGAGTATAAGAACAAGTATTTATAGGTAATTCTTAAGGATTATGCTGTTGTAGTAAATTAGTGTTGTAGATTCTCTTAGAATAACTGTGACTTGACTATATTTGAGTAGTTAGCTAGGTTTTCAGTATCAGGCATCTAACTTGACTCAAGAGAAACATTTCCTATGCACATATGAGCGTGAGAGTATCCCAAAAGAAGATGGTAACAGTGTTAAATCCTGGTTAAATCCTGCACTAGGAGTTTTTTCAGCTAGAACGTATGTAATTATTTTGGAAAAAAAGCTTGCAACTTTCTTTTATAGTACTTAGCACATGGATGCTGGGTCTTATTTCATTGTGTATTATACATTTATGCTTACTAAATTTTTAGTAGCTGATTTCTAAGTGAATGACTCATTTCAAAGTTTCTTTTAAATGCATTCATTTTAATGAACAGGATGTGTTCACAAACACATTAGCCTTTATTTATCTCCCAAGGGTTTTTTGGGATGGCTCCAATTTAAAATACTCTATCATGTTGTTACATCATATGTTATACCAATGTGTCTTGATTCTTTGTTTCAAGAGAAAAGTTACTGTAGATCATTTCTTACTATGCTAAAAAGCTTAAGCAGAAAGAGAACAATTTATGAAAATAGGAGGGAGATGAGCAGAAGCAGCCAACTGGCACCATGTTTGGGGCTTGCATGCAAATCAAGTTACTCTGTGCTTTCCAACACTTTCCAAATTCTTTTGAAACCATATTTAAAGCTGGATAGCAACTCTATATGAAGTCATCAGTGATACAAAAACAGACAGCACTGTGTTGGGTAGAGCAATGCCAGGGATTGACAGGACCAACAGATAAAACCAAAGCAATTAAGCTTCCACAAACAGTTGACTTAGTGTTGAATCAACACTCTTCTTTGTAAACAGCAGTGTAGCAGGAAATAAATGACAATCATACATTTCCAATACATAAACCAGGCTGGTTTAGTGAAGAAACAAAATTCTTTTCCAATTTTCTTCTTACAACATGGACAAATGAATTCCTTACCACTCTGTACTTTATTTGGGGAATCAAGCAAAGTTCCTTGTCTACAAAGGTTTAAACAATTTTTAAATAACTTTTGGTACTTTATCAACTTAATATCATTCCTCCAAATTCTTATTTAATGTTTTCTTAATCTACAATGAAAAAAATATATCAGAGAGCCATGGAGAAAAAATGTTTATACAATTTTATGCAAAAATATATATGGATAGATATATTTTATATATCAATGAAAACTTATAGATATACAGAATAGATATAGATGATAGATAGATGAAAAGAAGAGATAGATATTATCATATAACCATTATTCTACTGTGGATGTATATTTTCAATGTGTCTCTTATTTTAATCATATACATTCAAAATTATGCATGGGCAAAAGAAGGTAAATAAAAGAAGCTCCTTAAAATTCACTTGAGAACACAGTTTTGTTTTATACAAGAACCAGCTCAAACAACTCCTGACCCCTTACTTTGATGCTTCTGGAATAATAAGTGAAATTAAAAGCAACTAAAGATTAAAAAAAAAAAAACAACATTAGTCCTAGAATGAGTTTTCTATTTTCATATATGCTTTCTGTCTATTGTCATTGCTCACTTAAAAAAAAAAAAACAACTCTGTTTACGTCTTACCCTCAAAACAAAACAGACTTCTGGATATTTAGTTTTACTCTAACATTTATTACAAACCTACTTAATATTTCTAGAATTCTCAAGGCACTTTATCTCCATATACCTCTGATTGTTTCTCAGAATCCTGTCTTCTTGTAGATGTATTTTTTTTGTTTGTTTTTATGTTTATTTTTCTGTAATCACTGAGATCTCTATGAGAGTGGACTAGCTTTCTTGGCATTCTTAGAACCTTTCAACCTGCCTGGAATGTCATCTCATAAATGCACTGCAAGCACTAAACACCAGGAACTAAAGAAAAAAAAATCCTCTGTAGATTTCACAGTGTGTGTTTGTTTATTATAAGCAGCTAAGCATGCAGAAAAGGATATATTTCATATTAAGATTTTAATAAAAGACTGGAAAAATGACTCAGTAGGTAATGTCCCTGCCAGACACACCTTAGGACCAGAGTTCAATCTGATGCTCAGCACCGAAATCAAAAGCTAAGACTGCTGCCACATTCTTTTAATCTTTTTCCTAGGCATATGGGGACAGGAGGACTCCTAGGATTTGCTGGCCAGGTAGTATAGACTAATCTTAGCAACAGAGATCAACTTAAAAAATGATGTGTTGATCCTAGCCTATCAGGTCCCATCAGGACTGTATGCATTGTCTTCCTCTGTGACCTGGTAAGCCTGTCCCTCAGAGATCATCTTAAAAAAATGATGTGCTGATCCTAGCCTATCAGGTCTCATCAGGACTATCTGCATTGTCTTCCTCTATGGTAAGGCTTTCCTCCCTGAGGAGGAGGTGATAAAAAAGCCAGCTACCTATCAGTGAACTGGGGAAGGGTTATGGGAGTAGAAGAGGGAAGGAGGGTGGAATTGGGACAGGAAAAGGGAGGGGATATACAGCTGGGAAACCAAGTGAATAAATTGTAATAAATAAATTTTTAAAATGAAAAAAAAAAAACACCCAATGGTATATAAAGAAAAAGAAGAAAAAAAAATACTATCCAGCCAATGGAAATGTAACTTTTTAACAAACTGAGATGGTATGTATTTCACCAGGAATCATTTTTGTCTCTTAAAAAAAATGATGTGCTGAGCAATCGAGGAAGGCATTCTACACTGACCAATTGCCTGTGACCTCCACACACTTGTAAGTATAAGTACAAACAGTGCGAACACAGCTATATACACACATGAACATATGTATTCATACCACATAGAAACCACACGCCAATAAATGTTTATTTTGAGTTAGAGAATGATATAAAACTGACAACCTATCACCATCTTCCTTACCACTACTAAACCTTTCAGTAATCTTACTATTCCGTTGTGATTCTATGGAGCCCTGAAGCTAAATTTCACAGTGTAATATTTTAACTCTGATAAAGTCTCTTGGTGATGTTGTCTAAGCCATCGTACGTTATAGAAATGTGCCCATGATCATGATTTGTAATCTGCAGACTATAGCTTTGTTCTGAACATGCTGTATTCATAAAGCACTTGTGCTGCTGTTCCTTGATCTGCTTAAGTCATTCCCCTTGTACTGACTGCCTCATTGAGCAGATCTTCTTTGTGAAATCATTTAAAGCATTAGTACACAGTGCACAGAAAGATCTGGTTCTTATCAGCACACAGTTTTAAGAGCTTTGTGGACTTGGGTAAGTTATATGCCATATTTCAGTCCATTTAATCATAAAGGAAATGTTTACGTAACAATTCAGCAGCGTTGTTATAAAATAGATCACATGCAAAGTCTCCAATGTTAATGAGAAGTGAAGGTCCATCATTTCTACAATCTAGCAAGATTTATGATAAATACATTCTGTACCAGATAATGTTACTTGTTGAGTTCATTCTTATAAACTGCTGGAGTAAACTCTGTTAGTCCCAATTTGTGCATCTTTATTTACATTTTAAATTTTACACATTTCTATAGTTTATGTTGAGTGTATTCCCCTCATACCGCCATTCCTTTCTCTTTCCCCCTTAATCTCTTTTGTCACAATAGGCAGTTTCACTTCTACTTGTATGTCATATATTTTGTATGTCATTTTGTGTACATATTTTATATCAAGGAATCACAAACGAAAGAAAATGTGTGACATTTTTTATAAGATTGTCCTAACTCACTTAATGATGATTATCTCTAGTTGTTTCCACTCTCATGTAAAAGACAAGACTATGTTCATCTTTATGGCCGAACAGGATTTCATTATATAGATTCTTTCTATATCTGTGTAGATAGAGAAACATCACATTTTAACCATTCTTCCTCTGTTTAATTTTTTGTTCTTGTTGTTGTTGTTTTTTTTTGTTGTTGTTGTTCTTTCTCTTTATTTATTTACTTATTTATTTATTTACTTGATTTTTTTGAGTCTGGGTTTCACTATGTAGCCTTGGCTGCTTTGGACTCACTTTGTAGACCAGGCTGGTCTCAAACTCACAGCGAATTCCTTGAGTTCTGGGATTAAAGGCATGCATCGCCACACCTCAGCTTCTCTGTTATTTGTTAGAGAGCTAAATTGGTTCCATATAGAGCTTTTGTGAATAATGCTGGAACGAACACTGATTTTCAGATGTCTATGAGATGTATTGACTTGGAGATCTTTGGGTAAAGACCTAGGAGTGGTATTGTTGTTTCATATGGGAAACTTCATGTTGGATTTTTGAGAACCCTCCACACTGATTTCCAGAGAGACTGGACTAGTTTGCACTCTTTGTATCAGTGTAAAGCTTCTAACTATAGGCTACTGGAGTCTGGATACCTTTTATTTCATCTGAATCTGTTTGAAGTTGCAGTCAAAATACACAGCTAGCAGAAGAGAATTACACTTCAAGGGGTAGAAATCCTTCACATCTTCTATATCTGCAGTTTACAATGGGCAATGAGAAGGTACTGTGCGGATGATAGAATAAACATTTTTACTGTACATAACCAAAGCAACCTGCAAAAGAAATTGTGGACCTGGGGGAAGATGGCTATTTTTAGCTGTTCAAATTTCTTTCTTCAGCTCTTCTAGTTTCCTGTCTTTGATCTTTCTTTAGGGCTTCAGTGTCTTCATGAGAGACCTGCTATTCTGAAAAAAATTACGTGTCCCAGCTTTCCTCACCAGTGTTTCCTCTCTGCTACTT